TGGATGGATGGATGGATGAATGAATGGATGGATGGATGCTTGGAAGGATGGTTGGTTGGTTTTTAATCAAAAATCGCAGTTTACATGGTAGAGACGCTTAATCAGAGTATTGTCTTAATCACATAAAAATCTCATTATTTTTGTCCATGTAAATGTACTCACAGTCTCTCCACTCCACCAATAGCTGGTGTGTGGTGAGTGCACAGGTGCCGTTGTCCTGTGGCTGCTGTTGCATCATCCAAGTGGACGCTGCACACAGGTGGTGGTGTGGAGAGACCCCATCCATGATTGTAAAGTGCTTTGAGTGTATGGTCATACACGATAAATGCGCTATATGAATACATATCACAATACATAATCTGATTCGCCAACTTGTTTGAAGATCCAAATTAGCCAGAAATCAGCTATCAAGATTAAAACATTCAAGATCTGACAAATCCTCTTAGATTAGAGGAAGAACAGAGCTTTTAATATTCACAAAAAGCCTTCATCAAAGTTTTGTTCTTGTTACAATAAAACATTGAATCAGTGTCTGTTGAATAGATGATAAATCTACAATTCATTTAAATATAACCCATCACGCTGACATAGTGAACGGAGCTTCTGTCACTGCTGAAATGAAAGGCATTTGGACAGTGGACGGCTTAAATTCCCAGTCTGACCCGGGGTCAGTTTAGTAATGGAACAAGGCTGTGGGCTGATGGGGTTCAGTGTTTTTCTGTCTCCAGGTCACTGTTCTGAGATCAGATGCATTACGTGTCTTATTGACAGGGTCAGAGAGAGGAGCGACGTCCTGCAGCCACTCGTTGTCTCATTTCTGTTTCTTCTTGTCTTCTTTCTGTCTTCTGTTCAATTGCACTGCTCCTGTGGATCTGCAGAGAAGCGGACGGATAAATCCATGGTCTCGGGAGCAATCCGGCTGAAGATCAGCGTGGAGATGAAGGGAGAAGAGAAGGTGGCTCCACCTCACGGACAGTACACATGTTTACATGAGGTACGGGCTTAAATACACTGAAGAAACTCCTATTCAGAATTATGTCTTATATTATATTAGGTATAGTTAGGGATGGGTACCGAAAAGTACTTTATCGGTATCAGTACTACATTATAAAATACCGAAGTATCGATAAGCTCTGACGGTAACAGTTCTGCTATCGGTACTGGAGAATTATAGCTGAATAAACATTACTTACAGTAGCATAATTTAACTGACCCACCTTTTCTAATTTGGAATATTCAACATTTGTCTGCACAGTTGGCGATCTCACATGAGAAGTGCTCGTTTTTCAAGTGAGCACGTCAAGAATAAAAGCCTTCACAGTTCTCGGCTGTACATGCGCACTCAGCGGAGGCTTGCGCTAAGTGCACACACATAGCTCACGACACAGACTTACACACACACAGCTGGTAATCTTGCGGAGAGAACCAAACGAACTGTATTTCCTGATTGGACAGCGACAGTGCTCGTTGCAACAGAAGCAACAAGTTCCCACATAGCAAAATTTCTCTGGCCCAGCTCTGGCCCACACAATCAGGTTTTGCTTGGCCCACATGCCGCAGTGAATTACGGTACATGACTGGACCAAATCTGGCTTCCAGACAAGGGCCAAACACGGACCATATCTGGGCCAAGTCTCAGCCAAGTTAATAACTCATAACTGGGCCTGAACTGGGCCAGATAGGTTGGTGTGTCACGATTGCAATGAAATTGATAAACCCATGGAGTGATGCGCTTTAGGCACACTATGGGCACGCTTTTTCTCAAAGTGACCTGATTGGTAGAATTTTTTTTCTTTACTCAAAAATGATTTTAGTGTATTTTAAATGTGGGTCAAGACTGACCAAACTCACATGGCCCACTTGTCAAATTTTTAAATCTGGGCCAAATACTACGTTTTTCATCTGGCCCAAATCTTGTGTGGCGCCTTAAAAACGGTGCCACCTCTGCCAAACCCGGGCCATGTTTGGCCCACATGCTGTATGCCAGTGCCGGATGAATGCCTGCTGTGCCAGCTTTATGCCAAATCTGGGCCAGAATTCTTTGCTACTAGGGTTGTTTTCTTGTATAAGCGGAAACGGAAGTGAAAGTATCTTTCAAAAGGGCAATGAAAAGTTTTGACTGCCTAGCTACTAATGGTAACGTTACATCATCCACATCGTAATCAAAGAGCATAGAATCACCAAAAGGCGACACTCTAGGGCAAATTGGGAAACAGCCACTAGATGGCGCAATGGCCATTTTGGAATAAAAACTCCAATAGAACAACAGCAAAGTCTGTAAAATAAACTTTTAAAAGTGCTGATGACTGTGATGGTAAGTGCTGTATTGTCCTGTTTTAGGTTGTATCCTAGCTTTAATGCTCTTTTTAAATAAATAAATAAAAAGCAAAGCAGCTGCTTGCCATCGCTACAGCAATAAGAGCCAATGGACAGCCGATCGCTTTCACTGTAAAATGTCGGAATCTGGGGCTGTTGCTGGGCGCTGCTGTTGCAGTGGAACG